CCTATAAATATATAAATATAGGTTAGTAGAAGGAGGTTAGAAATTAAATCACATAGTATATTTTGGAGGAAAAAGGCAGACAGTTTAGAGATAGAAAGAAGGAAGAAAAATAAGGAAAAACAGGAAGAAGGAGGTTAGGGTTTTTATCAAAATCCTTAAGGTAAGTTCTTTTCTTCTCTTCTCCTTTGATTCAAATTATATACATGCTAGATTAATTCCATGATTAATTAATTAAATTAATTGAACCTATTTACATGATTAAAAACTGAAATTATAGTGTATGTATATGTGTAATAGGTTTGTGCATATGCTTGGTAATTTGGACAAATTGATGCATGATGTGTATTTTACAATGTTTAATAATGTTTATGAACTGTGTTGGAATTATTTGGGTTTTGTTTCGGATTTTGCCTACTGTTCACAATATGTTATTAAATCTATTTTAATGATTTTTAAATTGTTAAATTAGATTTATGGAGGATTTTAAAAACATGATTTAAGTACACTTTTGAAGTATGAAATTTAATTAATTTAAAAGGTTAAATTAATTAAATATGGTTGGATTAAATTATTTTAATCAATTATTTGGTTTTAAATAAATATAATCAGATTACAGAGGAGTACAATTATTTGTGATGCATGCAATTTTTATGAGATAAATTCAATGCATGCTATTTAGAATTGTTATATTTTGCTCAATTAAATGCAAAGGAATATCGGTATGATTTATATCATGCTATGTATGAATTTATTTGATGTGATATTATAATTGTAGCATCATTTATGGATTGTATGCATTATATGCACCAGTATGGAATTGTGGTATATTAGGGACGGATTAACTAAAAATATTAAGTCCTACATATTCATGTATAACAAAATGGATTAACTAAAATGTTAAATCCTACATATTTTCATGTTAGGTCAACTGAATCAGTTGGATGACATACCAGATATTTATTTTATGTTTAAATAGGATGGATTATATATATATATAGTTATATGCCATGATATGAGCTTGAGTCTGAGAATCATGGTTAGGGTGCGTATATTGTCAGGGATGTATAGCTAAATATAATGTAGTTATGTATCCTGGTAGGTTTAGGTACTCATGCCCATTATATTTGCTTTTTGCATGTTACCTACTATTCAGGTTGAGGCAACCCTATAGTCTAGTGAGGTTCTTTTAGTGTGTATCTATATATATACGGACTATGTAGTTATTGTTGGATTGACTAGGATATAAATGAGTTCTGAGTCTCTGTTTGGGATTTAGTAGATTAGAACTTGTTTATGAACCTGACCCACCATTATTTTTCAGGTGTTCGTCAGTTCCAGACTTAGGGATTGTTCGTGCTGAGTAGAGATAATCTATTCACTCCTCTGACTCTACGTATGATTTCTTTTTTAATGTTTTAGTTTTTCAGTTGGATTTTGGATTAGGGGTCCACATGATGGATTCCCAAGTTGTAATTTTAATTAATTACTGGTATTAGAGGATTTAGTTATTGGAGGTTTATTATGGGATTTATTATTTTAGTATTATTTTAGCTTTATTCTTTATTCTTATTTCATTTTGTATTCTGTGTTCGTTTAAATACTTTAATTATTTGATATTCCCTCAGGTTTGGGCTTGGGCCTGATCAACCCATGTCTCGAAATTGAGGGGTATCACATGTTGACGCTTTGTTGCATAATATTTGGACACCAAATCAATTTAGGTTTCAAATTTTGTTCGAGCAAGTGTTATATCATGAATGTTGGTTAGAAAGAAGTGGGGGGCTGCAGTAGTTGCCAAATCTTCAACTAGTAAATGGACAACTGTGCGAACCGATGGACTTATTAGTCTTGATCGTTAAAAGGGACAATGTTACCATATAGAGCAATAGAGCCTGTTGCTGTAGAATAAAATAAATACACAGCATACCCCTTACAGTTTTTTGTTAAGATTTCTTGGATCAGACCAAAATATATTCAACTTTCCCTTTAATTTTTATTCCATACTTGTATATATTCAACTTTTTCTTATTCATTTTATTTCCATAATGGTATACCTTTCTCCTCTATTTATTTAGTTATTCTCTATTGTAATGTACACAGATCAAAGAATAATAAAAGGCAGAGAATTATTAGCTTCACGCTATATTGATTGTCTTTCTCCTTTCTTTATTTTTTTGCTTAGTTTATTATTATTATTATTATTGTACATGGTATCAGAGCATTGATCTAGTGCATCTGTGATTTTCTTTCATTATGTGTTGTTTCTGGTTCTGCATAATCTCTGTGAACTTTTCTTTTCTCATACTACAATGACAACTGAATCCATTGTTACTTTTTCAACTGTGACTGGCACCTTTGGTTTAAGTGGACCAAATCCCAGTTCACCTTTTTATCTCCATTCGTCCGACAGCCCTGGTGTCATCCTAGTTTCTCAACAACTTACAGGCGACAATTATTCAACTTGGCGCCGCGCCATGAGGATGGCATTGTCCGCTAAGAAGAAGTTAGGATTTGTTTATGGCACTGTCACCAAGCCTACCGAATCAGAACCAAACTTTGCTGAATGGGTAATATATAATGATATGGTTCTTTCTTGGTTACTAAATTCAATTTCTCCTCATATTGGAAACAGTGTGATCTACGTTGACACTGCTAAAGAAGTTTGGGATAACCTTGATTGATGATTTTCTCAAGGAAATCTCGCTAGAGTTTTCCAAATCAAGCACTTTATATGTACTCTGCTTCAAGGACAAGCTTCCGTCACGGCTTATTTCACCAAGCTCAAAGCTCTTTGGGATGAACTGGATTCATATAATACAATCCCAAATTGTACTTATGGTTCCTCCAAGGCTATCATGGACTATCAACAATAAGAGCATATCTACCAATTCCTGATGGGCCTCAACGAATCTTATGCTGCCCTTCGCAATCAGATTTTGGCAATGAATTCCTTACCAACTCTAAGCAAGACCTATTATTTGCTTCTTCAAGAAGAGAAACAGAGGGAGTTCCATGTTATTGCACCTTCTCTCAACCTGACTCCACTGTGTTTGCCGTTGCCAAGAGTGATTTCAACCAAGATAAAGATCGTCCTAACGGCAAAGGGAAAGCTCGACCCCTGCCAAAAGTTTGGGCACACCAAGGAAAAATGCTTCAAACTACATGGTTATCCACAAAAGCAAACTAATGCCACCTCTACAAGCACTAACACTACTACAGTACCAACGGTTCAGATTCCTCAATTCACAGCAGAACAATATCAGCAGTTGTTGTCACTTCTTAACAACACTTAACCCACTGTCAACTTCACAGGTAACCTATGTCATCATTCTCAATCAAGATATTTTCCTTGGATTATTGATAATGGTGCTTCTAATCATATTTCTTTTTCTATTGATCTCCTTTCTTAAGTGATGCCAGCCTCTAATAATAAACATGTCCATCTTCCTAATGGCTCTTTTTCACACATCTCACATACTGGGAATGCATGTTTATAAAAAAAAATGTCAATCTTGAAAGTTTTCTTTGTGTTCTAGAATTTACCTTTAACCTTTTGTCTGTTAGCAAAATTACTAAATCCTTAAATTATTCTGTCACTTTTTTTCCCCAAATTTTGCATTCTTTAGGACCTTTCCACGAAACAGACGATTGGACTGGGAAAAGAATATGGTGATCTCTACTATTACCATCCCACTTCATCTCCTATCATTCTTGCTTCCCAACAACAACCAATTTGATTTATGGCATTGGAGATTAGGGCATCCTTCTGCCTTTCGTCTCAGTTTTTTGTCCAAGCATATTAGTGGCAACTCTAGTTGTTCTAATTTACTTTGTCATGTTTGTTCAATTTCTAAGCACACTCTTTTACCTTTTCCCAATAAATATAATCGTTGTGGTGAACCACTTGAATTGATTCATGTTGATATATGGGGTGATTTCTCCACTCCTTCATTATCTGGTGCTCGTTATTTTTTAACCATTGTTGATGATTATTTTCACTGCACATGGCTTTTTCGTATGAAACATAAATCTGAAACTCAATCTTTGTTTAAAAAAATTTATACCATGATTCAAACTCAATTTCACTGACGTATAAAGAATATTAGAAGTGATAATGGTCTTGAATTTCTTTCCATGCATCCATTTTTTAATAAACATGGGATTGTTCACCATATCACTTGTGTTAGGGCTCCTCAACAAAATGGTGTGGCTGAACGCAAACATAGACACCTTCTAAAGGTTGCCCATGCCCTTGGCTTCCAAGCCCACCTCCTTATCAAATTTTGGGGGGAATGTGTCCTTACCGCTATTTACCTCATTAACCATATGCCTTCCCCTTTGCTGTTAGGAAAATCTCCCCATGAGTTACTCTTAAACTATCAACCATCTTATGATCATTTGCGGGTTTTTGGTTGTCTATGCTACGCTCAAAATCTGTCACCTTATAAAAATAAATTTTCTCCTCATGCTGTTAAAGGCATATTCATTGGTTATCCCTTTGCTCAACGAGGATATCGAATTTATGACCTAGAGACGCACAAAATATTTACTAGTCATGATGTTACCTTTCATGAGGCTATGTTTCCCTTTCAGAGTACCACTCCTGCTCATACTCCACCACCTATTGTTTTACCTTTCCTTGCCTGTGACATAAGTGTCAACTCTTCACATACCATCAACCCATAAAAATCCAACACCTCCTTCTGACACATTTGCTCCAGCGCCACATGTCTCTACTCCAGTACCAACTCATCAGTCCTCGCCATCCTCCGACTTACCTCGAGGACTATCATTGCTCTCTGACCACATCTCCTTACTTATTACCAAATCATTATGCATTTCTTAGTTCAGATTGTGCACAATTGCAATATCCCCTTTAAAAATTTATTTCTTATGATTCCTTATCATCTAATCATTTTGCTTACACTGCTACTATTTCTGCTGAGGTTGAACCCATAACCTATGCTCAGGCTTCTTAGCATCCACAGTGGCGTCAGGTTATGGCTGCAGAAATTAATGCTCTTAAACAGAATAATACTCGGACACTCACCCATTTGCCTCATGGTAAAATTCCCATTGACTGTAAGTGGGTATACAAGATTAAGCATCATTCTGATGGTTCAATTGAGCGTTATAAGGCTCATCTCGTTGCCAAATGATATACACAGACTGAAGGCCTTGATTATCATGAAACATTTGCTCCTGTTGCCAAATTAGTTACGGTACAGTGTGCTCTGACAGTTGCAGCAATGAAGCATTGGCCTTTGCATCAGCTTAATGTTAACAATGCTTTTTTACATGGTGATCTCCATGAAGAAGTCTACATGAATCCTCCCGATTTTTATCGCAAAAGGGAGCATCTAGTATGTCTACTTCAAAAATCCATATATGGTCTCAAGCAAGCAAGTCAAAATTGGTTTGAAAATTTTTCTTCTGCTCTTTGCCTTGCTAGGTTCACACAGTCCCACTGTGATTACTCTTTGTTTACATCTACAAAAGGTTCATCAATTACTATTGTTCTAGTATATGTTGACGACATAATAATCACAGGCAATAATGATCATACCATTAAATCTCTCAAAGAATTCCTATACAGTTGGTTTCATATTAAGGATCTTAGCTCATTAAAAACTTTTTTGGGCATTGAAGTTGCTCGCTCAGCCAAAGGGATTTTTTTTGTCTCAACGAAAGTTTGCTCTAGAATCATGCATGATGTTGGTGTCGTTGGTGCAAAGCCTGTTATATGACAGCCCAAGTTTTTCAACTCGGTGCGTCAGTGATGAACCGAAAGATGACCCAATAACGGATCCGAAATGCGAAAGCAAAAGACAAAAAATGGTCTCTAGAGATACAATATGACTCTAAGACGCCAATGTGACCCTCAACGAGGTCACGGAACCCAAAGGAATAAAATGTGGAAGCAACGTTTCAAAAACGAACAAGAATAAACCTAGAGGCAAAAACGTCATTTCTAGCTTAAAAGAGGGTACTACCGAGCACACCATTGAAAAGACAACGAAAAATCAATAAACTTAGACTCAAAATTCACTTGATTCGGAACCTGGATGAAGAATATATGGCTAACGAAAGAAACAGGGGCAAAACGGTCAAAAAGTACCAATCCAAGAACATCTAACCGGTTAGATGACCTATCTAACCGGTTAAAAGGCCAAAAAAAACTTGACCAAAACACTACCCACACTCATCTAACCGGTTACGAAGCCCCTTCTAACCGTTTAGATGTCAAGGAGGCAGAATGGGCAGCAAGAAACCCTAGCAGCAAGGGTTTTTATAGAAAAAATAGAATTTTGAGGCTCTAGGTGACATTTTCTGGAAAAACACAAAGAAGAAACCCCCCTCAAAATTGAGTTTTCTACATTAATTTTTGAGAGAAATCGAAAAAAAACTCACTGTAAAATGCCTAAAATGCCCCTCCATGAAATCAGGTCATGAAGGTCTAAAAAGCTGCTAAATGCAAAACTGAAAGCTGAACTTTGCGATGGATTTCCGGCACCAAGATGACATTTTCTGGAAAAACACAAAAAGGAAACCCCCCCTAAAATCACATTTTCTAAGTGATCGGTTGGTCAATTAACATCAACCTTCGCAATAGCACGAATCATTGTAAAATAGGGCTATTGGTCGGGTAAGTCGAACCACTGGGACTGCGCTAGTCTATGGCAACCTAAGAGTCTAGAATTGTTCTTAGAATGATAAGGGGTAATAAGGGTTTGTTTGATTGGTTTGTCACTAAGCTAGTAATTGAAGTGCATAAAACAATAAATTGAAGGGGATTAAAAGAGAAGATTTAGAGAAGAAAGTCTAGGGAAGTGAGTCCACTCCAAACCTCTACACAAGCTAATTATATGATTAATTTGGGGAATTAATGTAGAAATGACCTTGATATATAATAATACATGACTACTATAATATCTTCAAGAAATTCAATTAATTAAAGAGTAAGAACAACCTATCAAAGCTTCACATGGTTGAGTTACCTAAACTAAGATGCAACCCTAGACATGCTCACTAAGCTAGAGATTGTCAAACAATTAATCAATTGGTGGAAGCACATGGTATCAAGTCACAAGATTAACTCATCAAAAGAAATTCTTAAGCTATGGATTAACAAGCTACTCAAAACCATGCCATTAAAACCGTTCCATAATCTTAGTTCCATTGTCACTATGAAACTATAAGCCATACAACTATGAGATTAAATAATCTAAGACAAGAGTATGTAAATCAACATAGTCATTCAAACATTCAAAATCTTCATTACAATTTGTAACATGCTCTAGACCATGGAACTAGCCAAATATACATTTCATTCCCCAAAATAAATCAAAAACTAGACATGCTTACAAGGTAGAGCTTCATCACCTCCCTAGATGGAGGTTTAGTTACCCATTGATGCACTAGAGGAAGGAGGAATCAAAGCCTTGACCTCCATTTTCGAGCTCCCCTCTTCTAGCTCCAAGAACACACCTTTCTTGCTCTCTTCTCTCTCCTCTAATCTTCTAAAATGAATCTCAATCATATTGTGTGGCTTCCCTCTCTTATCTTCTAGAGATAAGGCTCTAGAAACCCCCACCAACCAACATTTCCAACCAACCATTAAAGAGGGAAATTAGAATTGAGGAACCCAAGATGCAAGTGGCTGAAAATGGGCCATTTCCGGATGCAATTCTGCCCTAAGTTCGAGCACTCGAAATAAGGGCTCGAGCACTCGAAATTGGAGCAGAATGCTCCATTCTTGCCTTGCTCCGCCCAGACCTACTTCGGTTAAACAGCCATAACTTTGCGCTCCGAACTCCGAATGATGAACCGTTTGAAGATTTAGAAAGCTAATTCAGAGCTCTAAATATTTCATGTTTTAGTGGAGATCCAATTCTCAAGGATGGTTGGTCGAAAATGAAGATCAAGGCAGAATTTCATTGCTGCCAGGCAGTTCTGTGCACCTCTGGTAACAAGGCCATAACTCTCTGCTCCGAGCTCCGAATGACAAACCGTTTGAAGATTTAGAAAGCTAATTCAGAGCTCTAAATCTTTCATGTTATGAGGGAAGTCCAGTTCTCGATTTTGGAAGGTCAAAATGGCGAGCAAAGCCCAGGTTCTACTGCTGCCAGAATTCAGCATTGGCACCTTTTGTTGCTCAAGATTCCACAAGGCCTTATTCTTGTTCCATTTTGGCCAATGAACCTGAAAATGCATAAAAACATAGAAATGAAGATAATCTACATAAATTAACATACAACGGACTTTACTAATGCAATTTAGGGTGCTTGAATATACAATATTCGGCGCTTATCACTAAGTGACTATATGGAGACCGGAATTTATTTCCCAAAGGAAATTCCCAAAATTCCCTTAAGCAAGATTATGCAATAAAGATACAAAATGAGTCCGTAGGAAGCTCAAATCACCAAGGATGAGGTTTTTCTTGAAAACGATCATGCACGCAAACGTAACTTACCTATTTGGACGCGCTACAATGGTCCATGGCTCAAAAATATGGCCGATACAAAATAGGACCTCCCAACGGCCAAAATGACAAAAATGAAGTTTGGAATGAAAACTTGGAATCCAAAATTTTGAAATGACTTCAAAATACCGTTTGGCCTTTGGCCACACCTCATACATGTTAAATGAATTCTAGATAACAAATTTCATACACAATACACGCTCCGGTGCAAAATAGCATACTAAAACACATGAATTTTCATATAATCTCATTAAAGGCAAAAATCAACATCCATGACATAAATGTGATTCTAAAAGAAGTTTGGCCCTTAGCCTCATGTCATATACATAAAATGAGAATCAAAAGTGTGCTTATGCACATATTACAAGTTTAGAATCAAATATACACATTTGACAAATAAGACTACAATTGGCATTCCGAGCCAACCTTCACAAAAATGGAAGTCTCCAAGTCCTTAAACCATCCAAGCATAATGAAAACCTCAACTTTGATTCTTGTATCTGAAAAATGTCCTCACTACATGGGTGAGTAACATAAAGTTACTCATAGGAAATGAGCATACATTGACCTACGTTTTACAAGTTTGCATGATTTAATTATTGTGATTCATTCCACCTAACGTCTATGTCAAAGGTGAGACTCAGGGAGTATCCTAGCTACCTAAGATCATTTCTACCATCAATCGCCTCATTCATGCAATTTTAACAATATAGGGTCATACTTACACAAAGCAACAACATAGGAGTATGCTTACACAAAGCAATAACATATAGATTCTCAAGGTTATCAACTTGAAGTCTAAAATGCAACATCAACTAAATATAACAATTTAGCATAATTAGAATATCTAATACCACACATCAAGACATAAATTCTCTAGATTATCGACTAGAAGTCTAAAAGTGTGAAATCAACTAAATATATCAATTTAGTATGGATGTACTTAATAACATCAAATCGCCAATAACCAAAACCACAAGTCACAATTAAGCATTGGTTGTCAACTTGGAATTGAATGCGAAATCAATTAGTAGAAGACTTGGACATCACGTCTTGGATTTTCGCCGAGAACAAAATGGTTGTTCCGGGCACTAACGTGCAGGGAAAACCACCCTAAGTGCGTACTATCTCAATTGGGGAGAACTCATACCTCCCGCACTAAAGCCGAACTTTAGCCATATCACATGTAACAACAACAATGTCCCAAGACTCCAAAATAAACCAAATAAGTTTATAACTTATACATATTACTGCTACATAGTAACAAGCTAGCAATATAACTCTCAATTATGCATAATAAGCATTTCATATCCATAATGCTATGAAATCACAAGCCAACAATATATTCATATTAGAAACATACTCTCATGAATATAAATTTAACAACAATGCTCTTCAATGCATATAACACAATCAAGTGAATACATCACAAGTCTAAATCCATGCTCTTAAAATAGAAACAACTTCTAAAACATGATTAGATCCATGGATAAACAAGATAGAATTTAATTACATCAAATAATTAAACTCTCTAGATTTCAAATCATTTCCAAATGGCCTCAATTTAATATATGATAAAAGACATATCATGGTCATTACATATATTCACATAAAAGCTTAATTAGGCCCATGAAACCACAAAATAGATTTTAATTAATTCTCTTAATTAAATTCTCTAGATTTCCAAACTCAACCAAATGTTCTCAAATTAAAGTATGTTAAAGAACATGCCATGACTTAATTTAAAAGCATATTATAACTCAATTTCATGCAAGGTACGGCCATGAATTTTAATCTTTTACAAAAGATAAATATTAATTGAAAAGAGCAATTCTTATTTAATTAATCCCAATTTAATATATGTTAACCAACATATTAAAACAAGAGTTTCTACCATACCACAATTCAAATCCAAATTTCTCATCATCATGAAAATTAAATCTTATACAAAGAATTAAATATTTCAAATTTTCTAGATTTGATACAAGGCATGCATATATGTTATATAATCATGGAAAACACACAATGCAACACACAAATAATCCTAAAACATTCCCTACCTCAATTTGAGATGAAAATCTCAAAAGCCCACCGAAAAAAAAGTGCTCCAAATCCGACGATACCGAAGGTTTTTGTCGGGGACAACACAATCTACATGAACCCACAAGAAGCCCCATCAAAATCACAACTTGACTTCAAACCCAAACTCAAGAAATAGCCAAAACTGAATTCTAATAAGGGGGAATGGTAAAGCACGTCGAGGGGAACAATAAACGTAAAGGCCGAAGGATTTCTACCAAGGAAATCAAGTGGAGGAGAAGGAGAAAGGGTGGCAACCAAGGAGTTCCCATGGCTGCCGGCCAAGAGCTGGAGAAGATGAGTGAAAAAGTGATTTTTCACTTTAGGGCATCCTATTTATAGTAAGTCTCAAAAAGTGCCTTGAAAGGGCCCCACCGGGTCCGGAAAAGTGGGTTTTGAGTAAACGCACTCAAACAGAAAAACTCTGTGAATGAAAAAGATTTGAAATGAGAAAATATGAATAACGAAAGAAACGACGTCAAAAACTGAGTCTCGAGGAGAAAGTTATGCCCCGAACAAGTTCGGCGGCAACCGGGTCCAAAAACTCTGAAACTGGAGAAAAATGACCAGAAGGAATTTTCAAGAGTCCATGACTCGACGAAATGTTAAAATGAATCCCGTACGAGGATCCAGGCTCCAGACGAGACATTTTGCAATAACTTTCGTTAATTACACAATGGCCCCTCAAAAAAGTTAAAACTACACAACTGGCCCAGAATGAAAATATTTTCCAAAAATATTTTCTTAAAAACCCCTGAAATAAAATATTTTCAAAAGATATTTATGAAAAACACCCCAAGAAAAGAAAATAATTTCAAAGAACTATGCATCCATGCCCCTACGGACACCGGGAGCAACCAGAGTACTTTTTTACAAAAGTAAAGATACGTATTTTATGGAAACCACTTAGAATGAAGATATGTGAAGCCAAAAACTAACTCCGAATACAAGAAGTGAGGTTATGCCAATAAAGTGACAAACGGGGAAAAGACAAAAGAGGGAAAAGGACGAAATAGGGAAAAGGACGAAAAGTGAATAGTGTCGAAAAATAAAAAATGTGGAAATGACTCGGTCCTCAAAGGAAGTTGTCAATCCAAAGAAAAGAGTCTTGGAAATCACTCCAGAGCACTCGAGACGACACTAATCGACAAGAAATCAAACTCAGAAGGGAAAAGACAACGGAAAAAATTTATCCGAAAAATCCGGATCATTACATGTTGATTTTCCTATAATACAAAATCTAAAACTTACACCTGATGATGGTGATTTATTGAAGGATCCTAGCCAATATAGACGTTTAGTAGGTCCTCTTATCTATCTCACTATCACTAAGCCAGATATAGTCTACTCAGTTCAGATTCTCTGTCAATTTATGTCCAAGCCTCGCCAACCCCATCTCAACACTGCATATCAGGTTTTGGCTTATATGAAATCTGCTCTTGGCAAGGGTATAATATTGCCTTCAGATCAATGCCTTCAACTTGAAGGCTACTGTGATTCTGATAGGGGTGCTTGTCCAACCACCCGTCGTTCCGTCACTGGTTATTGTGTTTTTCTTGGTAACAGTCCTATTTCATAGAAAAGCAAGAAACAGTCTACAGTTTTTAGATCTTCTGTTGAAGCAGAATATAGAGCAATGGCGTCTATTACATGTGAATTAATTTGGTTACAATGGCTTCTCAAAAATCTAGGCATTCTTCACAAACATCCTATGCGGTTATATTATGATAACAAAACAGTTCTTTATATAGCTACCCATACAGTTTTCCATGAGCGTACTAAGCATATGAAGTTGGATTGCCACCTCATTCATGAAAAGATTCAAGCTGGATTGATCTAAACTTCTCATATCAGTTCCGTTAACCAAATAGCTGACATTTTCACTAAAGCTCTTGGGAAGGGTCAATACCGACATCCATGTGGCAAGTTGGGCATTTACGATATTCATGCTCCAACTTGAGGGAGAGTGTTAAGATTTCGTGGATCAAACCAGAATATATTCAACTTTCCCTTTTATTTTTAGTCCATACTCGTATATATTCAACTTTTTCTTATTCATTTTATTTCCATAATGGTATACCTTCCTCCCCTATTCATTCAGTTCTTCTCTATTGTAATATATACAGATCAGAGAATAATAAAAGGCAAAGAGTTATTAGCTTCACGCTATATTGATTGTCTTTCTCATTTCTTTATTTTTTGCTTAGTTGATTATTATTATTATTTTACACTTTTTGAATAAGGTTCAGTTACTAATATGTTTACTTCCAAAAGATTAATAGATGGGACTTTAACAAAAAAAAAAAATTTAGTAGATACGAGATTAATCATTAATTTACAATTACACTCAACATTTGCATTCGAATATTCATTGATTTAATGATTTTAAACTATTATTGAAGATACCAAAAATGGATTGGGCGGGTACGACCCATATCACTAAAGACTAGATCAGGAAAGAACACTTAGCCCGATCAGATGACCACCCATCAAGCCCAACATCCATTGAGACAATCTAAAAGCCCATTCTCAAAGCAAAGGAAAAAAACAGGTGACCGAGAGGAGCCCAAAGATCGGTCCAACATGGAAGATTAAAAGGGAAGCTTCTAGAACAACTGTAAAAGTCTATAAATAGAATGAAAAAAGAGAGAAAAGGGGTTGAGATATTTTGAAGTGTAAAGACTTATCTTTCCAAATGAAGAGAGTTTGTTCATTGTAACTTCAATGGCGCCGTCTGTGGGAACTGAAGGAAAGATTCAGTTGATCCTCGAGTACGCTACAAGCAGATTGATCATTCTTTCGGAGGATCTGCAAGTAGATTGATCATTTTTTTGGAGGATTAGGATTGATCTGCAAAGTTAAAGCTTGATTTCTAGAAATTGGACTTAGACTTAAGAAGATCGTGATCTGTTTGCAGAGGTTTGATCCTGATTAACGAAGGCCAGATCTAATGAATTCACGGCGAAAAAAATTCAGATCTAGCCGACGGAGGTTAGAATTTGGCCAGGCAAAGGCCAGATCTGGTTCATTCACGGTAGTAGAGTTCGGATCTAATTAAGATCTCTCGGTTGATGACTTTACTCCAATTAGGAACGATGATAGAAGGTGAGAGTTCTTATCCACAAGAAAATGAACAACACGCAAAGTTTGACGAATTGATGAGTATGATTGAGGCTCTAAGAAGAGAAAATGCGGATTTGAGAACTGGAATGGAGAGGCTAGAAATTTCGGTTATTCTACGACCGTCTTTGGCAGGAGAAAGAATTCTATAGCCAAATGATGTTCACCAGGGCGAATAAGAAGGAAACGTTCACCTGGATCTGCATTGCGAAGAGTTCAGGCTAGAAGATTTTTTGCCAAATGTCCATCATGTGGAAGATCGAGAAGGATTTGTCCATCTGGATTTGCATCGCGAAAGGATCAGGCAAGAAGAAACTATGGAGATCGATCCGCGTCGTGAAAGGATCAAGCGAGAAGAGGCCATAAAGTTTGATCATAATAAGGCTATGCCATCATGGCAGAAGGAGTCAACTGAAGAAAGGACGGTTAATCCAATCTACCGTCCGTTAATGGCCACATATGACTACAGGAGTTTAGGCAAGAAATCTGTTAAGCAAAAGATACTCCCGAAGGAAAATGAAGCCTTCCGTTTGGCAACTCGAACTATCGATTTATAGATGAGATCTTGAATGCTCCAAATCCAAGAAAATTCTCCATGCCAATTTTTACTTTGTTCGATGGAATGAGTGATCCGATCGAAGATGTTTATCACATTCAGCTGAAAATGGCTCTAAATACAGAAAATGATCCTCTAATGTGTAAAGTTTTTCCTACGAGCCTAACTGGACCGGTGCTCAACTGGTTCAAGAACTTGGCAAGAGGATCAGTGGAAAGCTTCCGGAACCTATGCGACAGATTTATAAGCTAATATTATGAAAACAAATGGTCGGCTAAGGATATATCAAGTCTGTTTACAATGAAACATTTGGAAGGCGAACGTCTCTAAACTTTTCTCACAAGGTTCAACCTAGAAAAAGAACATGGTAACAAAGTGCCATCCATCCACGGCGGTTCAAGCATTCAAACTGGCCATAAACCGAGGGACACCATTCCACACAAATCTAGTGGTGAATACACCGACGACCATGGATGAGCTGAACTAGAGAACTGATGGTTTTGTGTGCTTGGAGGAAGAGGAAGCTGTCAACACAAGGAAGACATCTATGGTCGCAATGAAAGAGAAAACCATAACGAAGATCAGATAAAAACAAGTTGTGCCACAGCATCCGACCCCCTGGAAAGCAGAAAAGAGGCCTAGGGAGGAAGAATCGATCACTTCACTCAAAGTCCACCTGGCGATATTGTTCCAAGAAAATAAAGATAAGTTTCTCCCTCCCCTACCGATCAGACAACCACTTGAACAAAGAGATTAATCCAAACATTATGCTTTTCATAGTGATTTTGGACATCTGACTAATGAATCCAGGAATTTAAGAAGACAAGTGGAGATGCTGATAGCAAAGGGAGAGTTTGCTGGTTACATTCAAGGACAAGCAGTAGAGTAGAATTGACCGGCTGAGCAAGTGAAAAGAAATAAGAAACCGAACTATCATAACGCTTATCATAACGCTCAGCCTGTTCGTATAATAAATGCAATTCATAACCGGCCTGAGCTGACCGAAGAGTCAGAGAAACTGCTCCGAATACGTCTTCGTCAAGCACAAATGAAGAAGAGGATAGGTAGTATAAACGTTCTGCACCAGCAAAACAACTCAGTTCAAATAAGGTTCGACAGAACGAATCTGTTGCGAGTTCAAATCCCTAATGAAGATCCCATGGTCATTAGCCTGATAGTAGCAGAATGCTTGGTTCAAAGAGTCTTAATTGATCTTGGGAGCAGCACGAATGTCATGACAAGAGTAACGTTTGACCGGTTCGAGATTAAATCGGAAAAGCTTAAACCCACAGGAAAACTACTGTTAAGATTCGATGGGAAGCGGGTGGAGCCTATCGGTATGGTCGAGTTGCCAGTACTTGCTGCCAAGAGAGAATTGATAGAAAGCTTTGTGGTCATTAAGATTCACCCATCTTATAATCTCTTGATGGGAAGAGGGTGGATTCACAGAGTCCAAGGTGTCCCATCGACTTTGCATCAGGTAATGAGATGCTTAAGTCCAGATGGGAGCAAAGTGATTGATATACATGGGGACCAGGTAGTAGCCAAGGAGTGTTACTTTGTAACTCTAAAAGCCAACGGGAAGGGAAAAGCGCCCGTCCGATCTGAGAGCCCAATATAGTAATTACAAAGGCCTCCACACAAGGGGGTTGGGGAGGAGGAAGAACCTTTGGCCCTTACTGAAGAACCTCTCATGGATGTGTAGATTGATCCTCTAAGACCAGACAGAACTGCAAGAGTAGGGTTAAGGCTTGTAGAGGATGAGGAATGGCAATTAGTTAATTTCTTGTCTAAAAACGCAGATGTGTTTGTCTAGAGCCATTTAGACATGCCAGGAATTGATCCCTCTATGTCTTTTTATTCTCTCAATGTAGATACAAACATCAATCCTGTAAGACAGAAGCAGATGAGGTTCGTCCCAGAGCGCAATCAAATCATAGCTGATGAAATTGATAGATTGCTGGAGGCAGGGTTCATCAGAGAAGTTCAGTACCCATCTTGGCTCTCAAACGTGGTTGTAGTGCAAAAGAAGAATGGGAAATGGAGAGTGTGTATTGATTTCACTAACCTGAACAAAGCTTGTACAAATGATAGTTTCCCTTTACCAAAGATTGATCAAATAGTGGATGCCACTACTAGGTATGAATGACTAACCTTTCTGGATGCTTACTCAGGTTATAATCAAATTCCTATGGATCCGAACGATGAGGAAAAAACTTCTTCTGTAACCGAACGAGGGATCTATTGCTACAAGGTCATGCCGTTCGGACTGAAGAATGCTAAGGCCACTTACCAAAGGTTGGTTTATAGGATTTTCAAAAGTCAAATGGGCAAAATTATAAAAGCCTATATTGATGACATGGTAGTAAAAAGTAAAAGGAAGGACCAGCATTTGCAACACTTGCAAGATGTGTTTGAGGTGTTGAGAAAGTACGACATAAAGCTTAACCCAACCAAATGTTCGTTCGACGTAGGTTCTGGGCAGTTTCTAGGGCATGTGGTCAATAACAGAGGGATTAAAGTTAGCCTAGCCCAAGCCGAAGCTCTGATTAAAAATGCAGAACCGAGAACAATTAAGTAGGTACAGGTAGTCACCGGATGAATAATAGCACTAAGTCAATTAATTTTTAAGTTATCAAATCGCTACAAATCGTTCTTCGACATAATAAGACGCCATGGGAGGCAAGCCTGGGGGGATAAGCAATGACAGGCACTGACCAAGTTGAAAGAGTATATGCAGAACCCTTCAGTCTTATCTGCCCTAAAACCAGGTGAAAAACTTTTCATGTATCTTGGCGTGTCGAGCATTGCAACAAGTGCCATTTTGGTATGAAATGAAAAGAGAAAACAATTCCCAGTGTTCTACGTTAGTTAAACAATGGCCGAACCAGAAAGAAGGTATT